CCAGGGCCGGGACGGGTGTGCTTGGCATTGCCTTCTTGGTCGGGACTGGCCCTGACAGCTCTGCTCCCTTCTCCCCACCCTGGCAGGATGGCTCTCGGCAGCGGCCCATGCAGAAGAAGAAGACAGTGTCCTTCAGCACCATGCCCAACGACCGGAAGATCAACAGCACGGCCGCCTGCATCTCCTTCATGCTGGAGGGCTGCGAGCTGAAGAAGGTACGCTCCAACTCCCGCATGTACAGCCGCTTCTTCGTGCTGGACTCGGACATGCGCTCCGTGCGCTGGGAGCCTTCCAAGAAGGACTCGGAGAAGGCCAAGATTGAGATCAAGTCAGTCAAAGAGGTGCGCGTGGGCAAGAAGACCCCCATCCTGCGCAGCAACGGCCTCTCTGACCAGTTCCCAGACGAATGCGCTTTCTCCATCATCTATGGAGACAACTACGAGTCCCTAGACCTGGTGGCCAGCTCAGCCGACGTGGTGAGTGCATGGGTGATGGGGCTCCGGTACCTGGTGTCCTATGGCAAGCACACACCCGAGGCGCCTGGGACCGGCCACCCCAGCCTTCGGACCTCCTGGATCTCCTCCGTCTTTGACCTCGCTGACCTGGAGAAGTCTGGCCGCATCCCTGTGTCGCGGGCTGTGCAGCTCATCAAAGCCCTGAACCCAGGCATGAAGGCCTCTACCATCGAGCTGAAGTTCAAGGAGCTGCAGAAAGCCAGCGACCGTGTGGGCATGGACGTGGCCTGCGACCTCTTTGTGGAGGCCTACTGTGAGCTCTGCACCCGGCCCGAGATCTTCTTCCTGCTGGTGCAGTTCTCCAGCAACAAGGAGTACCTGGGCCTGAAGGACCTGCTGATGTTCCTGGAGGTGGAGCAGGGCATGGAGGGGGTGACGGAGGAGAAGTGCTTGGAGATCGTCGGCAAGTACGAGCCCTCCAAGGAGGGCCGGGAGAAGGGCTACCTGGCCATCGACGGCTTCACGCGCTACCTGCTCTCCTCCGACTGCTCCATCTTCGACCCGCAGCACCGCAAGGTGTGCCAGGACATGGCACAGCCCCTCTCCCACTACTACATCAGCTCTGCCCACAGCGCCTGCCTCCTGGAGGACAACTTCTGGGGCAGCTCGGACATCAGCGGCTATATCAGCGCCCTGGGCCTGGGCTGCCG